TTTTTTCTAGAATTTCAAAATGATTTTTATGCGATGATTATTTTGATTTAAAGTCAATCGTGTTCATTGATGAGATCGATGCTGTTGGCACAAAACGATATGATTCCAACTCCGGAGGAGAGCGCGAGATTCAGCGTACTATGCTGGAATTGCTCAACCAACTTGACGGATTTGATTCTCGTGGAGATGTCAAGGTGAGTTTTTGAGCAACATTTGGGAAACTCCTTTTCGACTCAAAATTTTTAGGTGCTGATGGCTACCAACCGTATTGAGTCCTTGGATCCTGCTTTGATTCGTCCTGGCCGTATTGACAGAAAAATCGAATTCCCTTTACCTGATGAGAAGACAAAGAGGAGAATTTTCCAGGTTGATAATATGAGAGATTTGCTTCCCTTGTTATGTTATTCGTTCCACTGATTTGAATTCTCCTTTTTTAGAATTGAAATTCAAGGATTTTTTAATAGACATTCTATTCATCTTTAGGTGCAAAAATTAGTTTATGAAATGTTATTTTATGAAAAATTCCTTTGTTATGTACAATCATGTTTGAAATACTGCTCAAAATCATGATCAAAGGCTTGCAAACGAGAGCTCTTTCTTCCTTTTTTCTCCTATCATTTTTATTTCTAGATTCACACATCTCGAATGACACTCAGCGATGATGTCAATCTAGAAGAATTTATTCTGGCGAAGGATGAATTAAGTGGTGCAGACATCAAGGTAAGGGAAATGGTGGCTTCTCGTCAAGTTGATCTTCAACAGTTCATTGTCAAATTCAGGCCATGTGCACTGAAGCTGGTTTACTTGCTCTTCGTGAACGTCGCATGCGGGTCACCATGGAAGATTTCCAGAAATCTAAGGAGAATGTGCTCTATAGGAAGAAAGAGGGAGCTCCGGAAGAACTTTACTTGTAATTTATGACAGAATAATTTCAATTAATGCTAATTGAGTGAATAATACGACTTCAAATTGTAGTATTACGTGTTTCTGTAATAAAGTTTTTGCGGCCCTGATAAGTTTTTATGTGGCATTATCACCACTAATTTGTCAGATGTTGAATAAAGTGTTTAAACTTAGGAATGTCGAAAATTTAGTTGGATTATTTGTCCAGTCATCTTATCCAATCAAGTATTATAGTGTC